TTCACAAAACTTAAACGCATTTAAGAAAAGACTGGATAATCATTGGCTTTCACAGGATCTGTTATTGAGCTAAAAGTCTGAAGTTCATTTTATAACAAGCTAACCTCTACGAGCATTACATAATTTTGATTTTTTTAGTCTAATGGGGAAGATAACTACCGATCATGCACCAGAAATTAACTTACCTACAAAATCCTCAATATTGATATCGGGCCGACGAGACGACCGCTAGAGACAGCTACCAACAATCATGGCAGGCACTAAAATCCTCAATATTGATATCGGGCCGGGGAGACGACCGCTAGAGACAGCTACCAACAATCATGGCAGACACTAAAATCCTCAATATTGATAATAATCTTTATTCAGCAATAGACACAAATGTCTTTGTGCCATAAATACATTGCATATACAAGGATATATGTAGTGGTACAATGCATTAAATTACATAAATATATAATAAAGTAAAACAGTGACTTTCCATACTTAAATGCAGGTTTCACGACATCAGGGCGGACGTTACTCCTGATTAAATAAGTTAATGTTCCGTGTCTCATTCGCTTTAAAAATGAAAGCGGCAATATTTTTCAATGTACTCTTGCTCGTAGTCGATATTAATTCCAAGGTCTTTGGTCTATTTGGGTGATGAAAATACCTTCTCTTGATATACATGTGTCTTATGTTAGAATATAAGGTACACTCCATAAGGAAATGATACTCGTAATATTGATATCGGGCCGAGGAGACGACCGCTGGAGACAACTACCAACAATCATGGCAGGCACTAAACTCCCCAATATTGATATCGGGCCGGGGAGACGACCGTTAGAGAAGATATTCAACAATTATGGTAGACATTTTAATCCCCGACAACTTTTGGATTCTACAAATTTTACTCTTACTCTTTTAAGCGTGGTAAAAGAACATGACACACATATATTTATTTATCAGTTAATGAAATCATTCACTAGTTTGATCTCTACATATTTAGGTGTTCATTTGCAATCGAATGTGTCGATTGTTTTTTAATTTAATATATAATATTAAGAATACTCTTTTTTATAATTGATCGACTAGGATTACATTATAAGAAAGTTGTCTTGATATTAAAAAAATAATATGATACAGGGTTATATTTCAGAGAGCTCTCTTGATATAAACAAAATAGATAAATAATAGTATATGATATAGGGTTATTTTTTTAGAGTGCTGTCTTGATATAATAAAATGAATAAATGATAATATGAAAAAAGTAACATTATTAAAGATGTGTTTCGATATTACAAAATAAAGAATAAGATGTTATATATAACTTTATAAGAGAGCTGTCTTTATATTACAATTACAAAATAGATAAATAATAATATATAATACAGGGTTCCATTATTAGAGAGCTGTCTTAATATTACAAAATAGATAAATAATAATATATAATACAGGGTTCCATTATTGGAGAGCTGTCTTTATATTACAAAATAGATAAATAATAATATATGATACAGGGTTCCATTATTGGAGAGCTGTCTTTATATTACAAAATAGATAAATAATAATATATGATACAGGGTTCCATTATTGGAGAGCTGTCTTTATATTACAAAATAGATAAATAATAATATATGATACAGGGTTCCATTATTGGAGAGCTGTCTTTATATTACAAAATAGATAAATAATAATATATGATACAGGGTTCCATTATTGGAGAGCTGTCTTTATATTACAAAATAGATAAATAATAATATATGATACAGGGTTCCATTATTGGAGAGCTGTCTTTATATTACAAAATAGATAAATAATAATATATGATACAGGGTTCCATTATTGGAGAGCTGTCTTTATATTACAAAATAGATAAATAATAATATATGATACAGGGTTCCATTATTGGAGAGCTGTCTTTATATTACAAAATAGATAAATAATAATATATGATACAGGGTTCCATTATTGGAGAGCTGTCTTTATATTACAAAATAGATAAATAATAATATATGATACAGGGTTCCATTATTGGAGAGCTGTCTTTATATTACAAAATAGATAAATAATAATATATGATACAGGGTTCCATTATTGGAGAGCTGTCTTTATATTACAAAATAGATAAATAATAATATATGATACAGGGTTCCATTATTGGAGAGCTGTCTTTATATTACAAAATAGATAAATAATAATATATGATACAGGGTTCCATTATTGGAGAGCTGTCTTTATATTACAAAATAGATAAATAATAATATATGATACAGGGTTCCATTATTGGAGAGCTGTCTTTATATTACAAAATAGATAAATAATAATATATGATACAGGGTTCCATTATTGGAGAGCTGTCTTTATATTACAAAATAGATAAATAATAATATATGATACAGGGTTCCATTATTGGAGAGCTGTCTTTATATTACAAAATAGATAAATAATAATATATGATACAGGGTTCCATTATTGGAGAGCTGTCTTTATATTACAAAATAGATAAATAATAATATATGATACAGGGTTCCATTATTGGAGAGCTGTCTTTATATTACAAAATAGATAAATAATAATATATGATACAGGGTTCCATTATTGGAGAGCTGTCTTTATATTACAAAATAGATAAATAATAATATATGATACAGGGTTCCATTATTGGAGAGCTGTCTTTATATTACAAAATAGATAAATAATAATATATGATACAGGGTTCCATTATTGGAGAGCTGTCTTTATATTACAAAATAGATAAATAATAATATATGATACAGGGTTCCATTATTGGAGAGCTGTCTTTATATTACAAAATAGATAAATAATAATATATGATACAGGGTTCCATTATTGGAGAGCTGTCTTTATATTACAAAATAGATAAATAATAATATATGATACAGGGTTCCATTATTGGAGAGCTGTCTTTATATTACAAAATAGATAAATAATAATATATGATACAGGGTTCCATTATTGGAGAGCTGTCTTTATATTACAAAATAGATAAATAATAATATATGATACAGGGTTCCATTATTGGAGAGCTGTCTTTATATTACAAAATAGATAAATAATAATATATGATACAGGGTTCCATTATTGGAGAGCTGTCTTTATATTACAAAATAGATAAATAATAATATATGATACAGGGTTCCATTATTGGAGAGCTGTCTTTATATTACAAAATAGATAAATAATAATATATGATACAGGGTTCCATTATTGGAGAGCTGTCTTTATATTACAAAATAGATAAATAATAATATATGATACAGGGTTCCATTATTGGAGAGCTGTCTTTATATTACAAAATAGATAAATAATAATATATGATACAGGGTTCCATTATTGGAGAGCTGTCTTTATATTACAAAATAGATAAATAATAATATATGATACAGGGTTCCATTATTGGAGAGCTGTCTTTATATTACAAAATAGATAAATAATAATATATGATACAGGGTTCCATTATTGGAGAGCTGTCTTTATATTACAAAATAGATAAATAATAATATATGATACAGGGTTCCATTATTGGAGAGCTGTCTTTATATTACAAAATAGATAAATAATAATATATGATACAGGGTTCCATTATTGGAGAGCTGTCTTTATATTACAAAATAGATAAATAATAATATATGATACAGGGTTCCATTATTGGAGAGCTGTCTTTATATTACAAAATAGATAAATAATAATATATGATACAGGGTTCCATTATTGGAGAGCTGTCTTTATATTACAAAATAGATAAATAATAATATATGATACAGGGTTCCATTATTGGAGAGCTGTCTTTATATTACAAAATAGATAAATAATAATATATGATACAGGGTTCCATTATTGGAGAGCTGTCTTTATATTACAAAATAGATAAATAATAATATATGATACAGGGTTCCATTATTGGAGAGCTGTCTTTATATTACAAAATAGATAAATAATAATATATGATACAGGGTTCCATTATTGGAGAGCTGTCTTTATATTACAAAATAGATAAATAATAATATATGATACAGGGTTCCATTATTGGAGAGCTGTCTTTATATTACAAAATAGATAAATAATAATATATGATACAGGGTTCCATTATTGGAGAGCTGTCTTTATATTACAAAATAGATAAATAATAATATATGATACAGGGTTCCATTATTGGAGAGCTGTCTTTATATTACAAAATAGATAAATAATAATATATGATACAGGGTTCCATTATTGGAGAGCTGTCTTTATATTACAAAATAGATAAATAATAATATATGATACAGGGTTCCATTATTGGAGAGCTGTCTTTATATTACAAAATAGATAAATAATAATATATGATACAGGGTTCCATTATTGGAGAGCTGTCTTTATATTACAAAATAGATAAATAATAAAATATGATACAAGGTTCCATTATTGGAGAGCTGTCTTTATATTAAAAAATAGATAAATAATAATATATGATACAAGGTTCCATTATTGGAGAGCTGTCTTTATATTACAAAATAGATAAATAATAATATATGATACAGGTTCCATAAGTGGAGAGCTGTCTTTATATTACAAAATAAATAAATAATTAATATATGATATATGGGTACATTATAAAAATAACTGTCTTTGTTTTACAAAAGAAATGAATAAATAATAAAATATGATACAGGCTTATGTTTTTGAAAGTTTTCTTGATATTACAAAATAAATAAATAATTAATATATGATATATGGTTACATTGTTAGAGTGCTGTTTTGATTTGTTAACTGACGGCAGATGCCGGTCTCCGTAGTAAATACTCGATATCACTTTGACACCGGGAGGCATTTGAGGTGAACAAACCACCGCGTCCGATAGGTAAGCGTAACTCTATCGTATATACTAGTGATAGGGGTATAGGGTAAGAGTAACTCTATCCTAGTGGTATAGGGTAAGAGTAACTCTATCCTAGTGGTATAGGGTAAGAGTAACTCTATCCTAGTGGTATAGGGCTCTTTCCACCATCGTCCTTGAAGACCAAAACAGTAACACCGGATCTGGGACAAGGTATCAGTCACAAGTACTATATTTAGAATGCAGACCATCATACGGTGATCTGTAGTCGAGTGTTCAGCCAGGTAGCAATCCAATTATAGTCTGTTTCATACTTACCCCACAGGTAAGTTACCTATGTGACTTGTAGCTTTTTTGTGTACATGTACGTGATATGTTCGGCATTATTTTGGATATACATTTAATATATGTATAAATAAGTTTTAAATAACTTTTGGGGGGTATGAAATTGATAAAATAAAATGATTAATACACACTAAATTGTCTATTTATCAAATTTTAGGTTGTTAATCAAAAATTCATTTATGCACATACACGTGATTCATTAATTACATATATCATGTACAATACAGATATCACCATCACTAAATAGTATGAGTTTACAGTGAAGTATTACAATACAGATATAACCATCACTAAATAGTATGAGTTAACAGTGAAGTATTACAATACAGATATAACCATCACTAAATAGTATGAGTTTACAGTGACGTATTACAATACAGATATAACCATCACTAAATAGTACGAGTTTACAGTGAAGTATTACAATACAGATATAACCATCACTAAATAGTGATGGTTATATCTGTATTGTAATACGTCTCTGTAAACTCATACTATTTGGTGATGGTTATATCTGGATTACAATACAGATATAACAATCACTAAATAGTATGAATTTACAGTGAAGTATCTCAATACAGATATAAACATCACTAAATAGTACGAGTTTACAGTGAAGGATTTCAATATAGATATCACCATCACCAAATAGTACGAGTTTACAGTGAAGGATTCCAATACAGTATAACCATCACTAAATAGTATGAGTTTACAGTAAAGTATTTCAATACAAATATAACCATCACTAAATAGTATGAGTTTACAGTGAAGTATTTCAATACAGATATAACCATCACTAAATAGTATGAGTTTACAGTGAAGGATTTCAATACAGATATAACCATCACTAAACAGTATGAGTTTACAGTGAAGTATTACAATACAGATATAACCATCACTAAATAGTATGTGTTTACAGTGAAGTATTTCAATACGTGTACCTTACATTACCTTTCATTTACATTACATTTTTTAAGCCACCAAATACAAGACAAGTTGAAATATACTTAAATTTCCAATACAAAATAGTCACATATGAAGAATAGTCAAGTTCAGCAATACTTGTACATTTGATTATATATCAATTTTAACCTTCAACTGCTGTACAGAACCAGCACTTCAGTCCGACAGTCATTTTTCATACTTTTAAGTGTACAAGATGCTTCATTATAAGAAATATTCCCCTCTAAATTTTCTGATTCTTGACGACTCAATTTTGGAACAATATTACCATTTAAAAACTGATTTAAATTTAATCTGCAGATTATAATTTTTCATAAAATTGGTAATAAACGAAATATACCGTTACTGACCTCGGATATAACATCCTTAAACATTTGGACATTAGCCTAATTCTTCAGCCATGTAGCAATCGAGATACCCATGTACTGACCATAGGTATATACATCCCTAATACGATGAGCTGTAGTTGGGTCTATAGCTATGTAAGGATCGATATAGACCGGTTCAAATCTCATGTACATACGGATGATGTCTTATCTTTGTTTTAATACCACGCTATTTACCAGACCTAATTATGATCAGTTATAAACCGATAGCAAGTGCCCTAGTTACGGATAGCAAGTCACCTAAGTATGGATAGCGAGTGACCTAGTTATGGATAGCAAGTGACCTAATTATAGATAGCAAGTGACCTAATTATGGATAGCAAGTGACCATAACAAGTGACCTAATTATGGATAGCAAGTGACCTAATTATGGATAGCAAGTGACCATAACAAGTGACCTAATTATGGATAGCAAGTGACCTTATTATCGATAGCAAGTGACCTAATTATGGATAGCAAGTGACCTAATTATAGATAGCATAACTACATTGACTGCTACTGACCTGATTTAAGGCTAGTCAACACATTTTTTAAACATTTTCCCACTATAGCTGTAATTCGATTCAGATTAAAAACACAAAATGACGGAGTAATCCAGTGAATGTCACCGACTCATATATAACCCAACAGAGTGAACTGCACTGGGTACTGAGATAACAGGCAATCAAAAACAATCAAACATGGTTCAAGACAAATGTTACATCATCAATCAAATTATTATCATCAAATTTGAGCCATTTTACCTTGCAATATAACTACTAACTTGATTGATGGCAAATCCACGTGGGTAAGAAATACGAACCGTTATAGCGGCTGATTCCGGAATACAAGTTGTAAACATAGTAGTACAAAGTTTGAAAGAAATGACTTGGTTTGGTTACGGGCAGAACCAACAATAAAACCACGTTTATCAGAACGCTGTGAAGTTGTGTAATCCCATACAAGCTAGGCAGCTCCTTATCCTTATCATTATCCAGTACTTGGAATACAGTATACGGAAGTGTATTTGAGTTTTTCTATATTGTCTTTTGTAAAAATTGAAAAAAGGTTTTATGGCATGATTTCGTTGGTCATCATTCAATCGTACTCATTTTTTGAAAGCAGGACATTTAATGGTGTTTGTTCTCAAGGAATACGTTAGTAGGTGTTTAATCTGCTGGCACAAATAAGTAACGATCATGTGGGGTTTTGAGTTGTGTTTATCTTATTTCTTAATCTATTTATTTTTAATTTCTAGCGGCTACATGTAATTCTTCTTTGAAAGTGAACCTGATCAATTAAACCGTCTCTGATAGCGGGTCCAATTAAACCCACTCTGATAGCGAGTCCAATTAAACCCACTCTGATAGCGAGTCCAATTAAACCCCCTCTGAAAGCGGGTCCAATTAAACCCCCTCTGATAGCGAGTCCAATTAAACCCCCTCTGAAAGCGGGTCCAATTAAACCCCCTCTGATAGCGAGTCCAATTAAACCCCCCACTCTGATAGCGAGGCTAATTAAACCCCTCCACCCTGATAGCGAGGCTAATTAAACCCCCCCACTCTGACAACGAGTCTAATTAAACCGCCCCACTCTGATAGCGAGTCCAATTAAACCCACTCTGATAGCGAGTACAATTAAACCCACTCTGATAGCGAGTCCAATTAAACCCACTCTGATAACGAGTCCAATTAATCAACTCTGATAGCGAGTCCAATTAAACCCACCCTGATAGCGAGTCTAATTAAACCCCCCACTCTGATAGCGAGTCTAATTAAACCCCACCACTCTGACAACGAGTCTAATTAAACCGCCCCACTCTGATAGCGAGTCCAATTAAACCCACTCTGAAAGCGGGTCCAATTAAACCCACTCTGATAGCGAGTCCAATTAAACCCCCCACTCTGATAGCGAGTCCAATAAAACCCACCCTGATAACGAGTCTAATTAAACCGCCCCACTCTGATAGCGAGTCCAATTCAGCCTGCTCTCGTTTGGCTTTTGTCTGGCGCAGTCTTCCACGTTACCTCTCAGTATCTTGAAATTCACTTTTTATCTGATAAAAGAAGTTTATGATAGATATTTAGACATTTTCATTAAAAACTGTCTTAATAAATAACCTTAAGGCCGCCAGTTATTACGTATCCAGCTGGACATACTTGTATTTGGATGCAGAACAAGAATATACTGAAGGAGGAGTTATTCTATGGTAATCTTAATTCAGCTAATATCAGCTATTCCGTATTTTGTACCTGAAGTACTGTTGTATTTAAGCCTCAGAGGAGTTATAGCGTTGGATAGTACTGTAGATAATGACGTTGGTAGTACTGTAGATAATGACGTTGATAGTACTGTAGATACTGACGTTGGTAGTACTGTAGATACTGACGTTGGTAGTACTGTAGATA